CCACCAGAGTTCCTTTATTATATTATCAATAATATCTCATTAGTGTTCTTAAACCACTAGGGGACAGAATATAGTCTTGATGTCAGCACGTCAAGATGCAAATGTCTGCAACAGGACGGTTGCCTTTCACCTATTTATTTTAGCTGGAGATAATGTCCCCTAGGAGATGGATGGGAGGGGGGAAATTCTTTGAATTGGAGCAGTAGATTAGGGGTGAATGATTGGGAAGATGGCCAATGAATGCAGAGGAGTGGGGGAAGGAAGAGGAGGGATTTTGGGTCAGCACGTGAGTGCTGGCTGCATGGAATCAGTATAAAAGTTGCCGTGCTAAATAAAATGGAGGTTTGTTTCAAAAAAGACTTTGTTTGAGACGCAATTTATTTAAAGACGGCCTGAAAACCTGACACCAATCAATGTTCATCTCCAAGACAATGGCTAGAGCAGGGGTGTCAAACTCTATTTCATTGAGGGCCACATCAGGGCTGTGGTTGGCCTCAGGGAGGCTGGGTGGGCATGGCCAACTGGGTGGGCGTGGCCAACTGGGTGGGCGTGGCTAACTAGGTAGGTGTGGCCAACTGGGTGGGCGTGGTCAGCTTGATGCCACTCCCCAAACTACTGGCATGTTTCCTCTTCGCATTGGGCAGACTGGGCCGAAGCCACTCTGGCCTGATCTTTCCTCTTCGCTCTGGGGAGACCAGGACAGCCCTGGAGGCTGGATCCGGGCCTTGAGTTTGACACCCTTGGGCTAGCGTATTTAGGCAAAGCAGTGGAAGAACCTGGAGTGACGACAGGAAAGTCATCTGGCCATTAAACCCTCTGCTAGCTCCATTCAGTTGCCCAGACTCCACCCCGCAAGGGATTATGGGTCGTTAAATGAAGATGATGATGTGTGGAAGAACTTGGAGGCGGATTTAAAAGAGGAATCAACAGTCTCTACATTGTCACAAGCAAACTAAGTCACACAGACACCCAAAAAAATCTTTTGACCCTTATTGAACTCCAAACAGGTGCTAACTCTTCGTTGAGAAGATTTCTATACATAAGTTGTTTGTAAATAAATCACTTTCATGGGACCTTCACGTGTGTGAACCTGGTCTTTTGCACCTGACAACCCTTTTGTCTAAAAACAAAAGGGGTGGTTCTTTGAATGCTTTGACTAAGCCAAGAAAGGATTTGATTTTGTCTAATTTTAAGCAAAGGTCAGCCAACCAACGCAATCAACCAATGCAATCCTAAAATGCATTAACAGAGGGACACAATCAAGATCAAGTGAGATGCTAATGCCACTCTATAAAGCCTTAATAAGACCATATCTAGCAGTACTGCATCCAGTTTTGGTCACCACACTATAAAAAAGATGTTGAGACTCTAGAAAAAGTGCAGAGGAGAGCAACCAGGATGATTAGGGGACTGGAGACTAAAACATATGAAGAACGATTACAGGAACTGGGCATGGCTAGTCTAGTGAAGAGAAGGACCAGGGGAGACATGATAGCAGCGTTCCAATATTTGAGGGGCTGCCACAGAGAGGAGGGGGTCAAGCTATTTTCTAAAGAACCTGAAGGCCAGACAAAGAATAATGGATGGAAACTGACCAAGGAGAGATTCAACCTAGAAATAAGGATAAATTTTCTGACAGTGAGAACAATCAACCGATGGAACAGAAGTTGCATTCGGAAGTTGTGGGAGCTTCATCACTGGAGACTTTCAAGAAAAGATTGGACTGCCATTTGTCAGAAATGGTGTAGGGTCTCCTGCTTGAGCAGGGGATTGGACTAGATGACCTATAAGGTCCCTTCCAACTCTGTTAACCTATTAAATTTACTGTATTTTCACTTTCTAAAATGCATGAATGATCAACCCCATCTCCCAAGAAGATTAGGTCACCATCCAAACAGCAGCTTCTTTCCTCCCAATCCAATAATAAAAATATAATATGGAAAAATATGAATTAACACCCATGGTTTTGACCTTCCATGACACCACTAGACAACTATAGTCTGGACTGCTGCTTCAGTCTGTGTAATGGTAGGAAGGACGTTTTCATCTGCATGAACAACCAAGAAGTATTTCCATGGTCTTAGATCCAACCTGCTTCAGCATCTTTGAGAATCAAAACTGACAAACGAGTATGCAACTTTCCAATTGAAGTCCACGTGAAAAATCCAAGGAGTGAATTTTGAGACCTTCTTTTATCTGACATATATAAAGATGTAAAAGAGACTGCAAGATATCTATGTATAGGTAATCCTCGATTGTTCTGCCCCAGCTATCGACCCCAAAGAACGCAGCACATACAAAGTCTGTACAAACCTTAGTTTACTAAATTAAATCAGTCTTTTTCAAACAAAGGCTGTTAATTAACTATCTTAACAGCCTACAAGAATCCAAAGAATAAATAATCGCAATCTTACTATGGTTGGCAGAAAGCCCAGAAGCAATTTGCTGAGAACTAAGATCCAGACGCAAAGGAGAGTGAACAAAGTTGTTCCCTGCAAATTGCCTCAGTCGTCCTTCCTTAAATAGGCTAAGGGAGTGGCCAATTAGCCCCAAGCCTTACTCTCGAGGAGACCTCCTCCTGAGGAGCCACTCCTGCCTTTTGGCAGCTCTGCGCACCCGTGCATCGAGAAGAGGCTCCTCCTCTTCTTCCTCTTCACTTATGGGAGCTTCTTGAGGTTCTGAAGGCCCTGGCTGAATCCCCACCTCTAGCACCACATCTTCTCCAGCCTCCACACTGTCAGAATCAGCTACTAGCTGCACAGACCGCTGATGGGCCACAACATCGACTTACATCCTTCCATTTAATGACCACTCAAAAAAGTGACTTATGATCATTTTTTACAAGTTGCAGCATCTCCATCTTAACGTGATTAAAAGTTGGATGCCAGACTCACTTAACAACCGGGTTACTAACATAACAACCGCAGTGATTCACTTAACGATTGTGGCAAGAAAGGTCGTAAAAATGGAGCAAAACTCATTTAACAACTGTCTCACTTAGCAACAGAAATTTGGGGTTCCATTGTGTTCATAAATCAAGGACTATCCATACTACTAAAACTCTCCTGTCTGTTTGTTGGTAACCTTCAATTGGGTGAAACAGTGCATCATTAGGGCGGCAATTATTGAACCAACATACCTCAAATGAGGCTAACTTGTAGAATGCGTTCAAAATGCAGAACTCATGATTCCTGTGGAATTGAAATTAGGCAAAATTGTGGTATTGTCACCCTGCCATGGCTGCTCCAACTCTCCCTACCAGGAAACAAGAGAGGGAAGGAAGAAATATAGGTACGGAAATATCTCTAAGATGACCCAACAGGTCACAGATTCAGGGGTGGGATTCAGCCGGTTCGGACCAGTTCGGGCGTACTGGTAGCTCCGACGATCAGCTGGGAGAAAACCGGTTCGCTCCGACGATCAGGTGGGCCCGCCCGCCCCTGCGTGCTTTACTTACCTTTATCCTCTCAGCTGATTCACATGGCAAGCGGATTGCCACGCCTCAGCTGTGTTAGTCCCCAGAAGTAACACATGCGCAGCGATCACCAAACCGGTTCACTGAACGCGATCGCCGAACCGGTTGTTAAGGCGGCAGGATCCTACCACTGCACAGATTGTCTAATTCTGAGCTCTCAAAGAAAGCATCACATCGTACATCTTTTGACTATGAAATAACAAAATCAAAACTATCCAGGTTTGGAAGAAATATCCATCTGGTTCAGTTCCAAGCCGGGAAAAAGACACTGGGAAACTTGGAGGCTGATTGGAAAGAGGGTTTAATGCTGAAGCAGAAGCACATGGGTGGTTCTGGTGCAGCTGACCGCATGGAGTTGAGAGTGCTTTTATATCTTCTCTTGGGCTTTGAACTTGAGCTTCCTGTTCCTGTGCAAGAACATGTATTCTATTGGCTGCTGTCAGATTCCCATGGGATTATGCAGGGGTCATAGCTGAGGTTGTTTGAGCTCCTGGGTTTGGTTGAAGCTTGGCTGATGCAATGTCCTTAGGAGATTGTGCAATGTAGTGAGCTCTGCTGCTAGTGGGTTAATCCTATTACGTCCTGGAGGGTCAAGTCTTAATCCCATCATCCTGGAGCTGAAGGTCTTTTGTTTTGTAGATAGGATGGCCCAATCTTTCTTAATGAGCAAAAAATATCTGCTGGGGGCTATTAAGAAAGGTGGGGGCTGTCTCTTTCTGTCTCCAAGATCATGTTTCTCCATTCTTCCTTTAGGGAAATATAATATTCTGCTTTTTTTAATATTTCTCAAAATATTTCATTCTTCCAGGAGAGTGGGGTCTTCCCTCACCAGAAAGGGTTTTTTCTCTTCTTTTTTTATTCTTTCTTTTTGCATCTCTATTGTCAAGTTTCCGAAAGATGCCCTAATTAATTCATGAGCCATGATCCAAACTTCAAAGGAAATATAGTCATTTATTAGGAGCACCATTCCAGCAATACTGGGATGCAGTTAGGACTGATCCTACGTAGATTTACGTTCCCCTATGACCCTGTCTCTCCCCTCCTCTCTGGCCATGTCATAATCACATTCTCCAATTAACCACTTTGGCTGGCTGTGAAACCTAACACCCTCCTTCTGATTGCGGTCAGAAGAATGTATGGAATTCACTTCAGTTCTCCCTCCCTCCTGCTCATGGCAACTTGAAAGCTTTGCAAGTTGACATTCGGCTCCCCTCAGTTCCCGAGGGCGACCTGCGCAAAGCAAAACAATTTGAGTACTGATGCAGAGTTTAGGGATGTGACCCCCCTACCAGGCTTGTTTGGATTTTCTGCATGAAATTTGTCTATAAGGCGATCAGCCTGGATGTTTCGACTCTTTACCCAAGATGCCTCTGATAAGGGGTAACCCTTCCACTTGATTAAATATTGGAGTTGCCTCTTGTGCCACCTCGAATTGAGGATTTGCTGCACCTCATAATGGGTCTGGCCCCCCTATGACCACGGGGTTTGGGACATCTCACGGGACATCTATTTTTTTTCCTCTTAGGTCAGAAGCTGAATGCTGGCAGAGGGAGAAAACTGATCTGAAACCATCCGATCTGATTTCTTCCTCCCCCACCTTGGACCCATCCATGTGAGGATAGAAGGAACATGGCCACTGAAAATTTTGCGGAAATCTTGAACAGACTCAAGGAAACACACGAGAAAGAAGTCCAGGGTAAGAAATGGGGTGGGGGGGTGGGGAGATAGGGCCACCACACTTGCCTGATGATTGATTGGATGAATTGATTTAAGGCAGAGATGTTTAAAATGAAAGAAGCAGGTGAAAAGGGGGATGAAAAGCAGAACGGTTGCTGATTTTTGTAGAGTTAGCTCTTTGTGACTGCAGCTTCGCTCAAAAGATCACAATTGTTTCTGAACTCTTCCAGGCCTACAAACCAAACTGAATGAACTAACCAATGAGAAATGTCGGTGAGTAAAACAAATGCCATCTGTCGGACATGGGTTCTTTAGGACAAAACAGAATCGATTAAAATATAAAATAAACTTTAAAATTCATCTCTATCTAGCTATCATCTACCTACCTACCTGTCTATCTATCTATCTGTCTGTCTATCTATCTATCTATCTATCTATCTATCTATCTATCTATCTATCTATCTTATTTATCTATTATCTATCATCTATGTATCTATGTATCCATCTATCCTATTTATTTATCTATATATTATCTATCTATCATCTATGTATCTATGTATCTATCTCTTATCTATTTATTTATTTATTTATCTATCTATCATCTATCATACCTGCCCTGTTTCCCTGAAAATAAGACATCCCCTGATAATAAGGCCAATCGTGCTTTTAAGCGCAAATAGAAAATATTTAACCACATGCGCAGCTGGCCCCCGCCATTTCCTCTAGTTAGAATTAGGGAGACAGAGCTGGAAATCAGGTAAGACGGCAAGAGGTGCCCCATCTTGCTCCATGTGCCCCAAAATAATAAGACATCCCCGAAAATAAGGCCAAGCGCTTATTCCGGGTTCAAAAAAATATAAGACAGGGTCTTATTTTCAGGGAAACACGGTATCTATATATGTAGCTAGCTAGCTATCATCTAACTATATATTATCTATATCTATCTATATATCTATCTGTCTGTCTGTCTGTCTGTCTATCTATCTATCTATCTATCTATCTATCTATCTATCTATCTATCTAACTATCTATCTATCATATCTATCTATCTATCTATCCAACTATCAATCTATATCTATCATCTATCTATCTAATCTATCTAATCTATCTAATCTATCTATCTATCATCCATCCATCCATCCATCCATCCATCTATCTATCTATCTATCTATCCATCTATCCATCTCCATCTATCCATCTATCCATCTATCCATCTATCCATCTATATCTATCATCCATCTATCTATCATCTATCTATCATCTATTTATCTATTATTTATCTATCTATCTATCTATTATCTATCTATCTATTATCTATATCTATTATCTATCTATCTATCTATCTATCTATCTATCTATCTATCTATCTATCTATCTACCAATGTTGGAATCAAAATTTTGTCTTTTATCTTCAGAGGAGAAAATCTGAACAAACTGATTTTTGAATAATGGTTTGTTAAATAAACTACAATTGGCTGGTTGAGCCATACATTACTGCTCACAAAGCACAGGGGCTGTGTATGTCAAGCCAGAATGAAGCCATGTTTTGTTTAGCATGATGGGCAAACAATGTCTGTCTCCTGAGTACAGATAGTCCTTGATTTACAACCATTTGTTTAGTGACTGTTTGAGGTTACAGTGGCACTGAAAAAAATTGACTTATTACTAGTCCTCGCACTAATGACCATTGCATTATCCTCACAGACACACGATAAAAATTTGGTTGCTTGGCAACCTGCATGTATTTACAATAGTTGCAGCATCCCAGAATCATGGATCATTATTTGTGACTTCCTAGCTGGCTTCCAATAAACAAAGTCAAGGGTGGGGAGGTGGATTCATTTAACAACCCCATGGTTTGCTTAACAATTGCAATGATTCACTTAATATTCGTGGCAAAAAAAAATCATCGAATTGGTGCAACTCACTTAACAGCCACCTTTTTTACCAACAGAAATTCTTACTAATTGTGATTGTAAGTGGAGGATTACCTGTTCTTTATCTAATCTTAATTATTTTATAAGTTCCCATTACAGGTAATATACTCAACCACAACTGAGGTCAAAATTTCTGTGGTTATGTGAAGTATTTCTTAAGTGGGTTTTGCCTGATTCTACGATCTTTCTTAGAAGGCTTGGCTAGGCTAGGCTAGACTAGACTAGACTAGACTAGACTAGACTAGACTAGACTAGACTAGACTAGACTAGACTAGACTAGACTAGACTAGACTAGAAGAGAAGAGAAGAGAAGAGAAGAGAAGAGAACAGAAGAGAAGGAAGAGGAGAGGAGAGGAGAGGAGAGAGAGGAGAGGAGAGGAGAAGAGAAGAGAAGAGAAGAGAAGAGAAGAGAAGAGAAGAGAAGAGAAGAGAAGAGAAGAGAAGAGAAGAGAAGAGAAGAGAAGAGAGAAGAGAAGAGAAGAGAAGAAAGAGAATGGAATGGAATGGAATGGAATGGAGTGGAGTGGAGTGGAGTGGAGTGGAGTGGAGTGGAGTGGAGTAGAGTAGAGTAGAGTAGAGTAGAGTAGAGTAGAGTAGAGTAGAGTAGAGTAGAGTAGAGTAGAGTAGAGTAGAACAGAACAGAACAGAACAGAACAGAACAGAACAGAACAGAAGGAAGAGAAGAGAAGAGAAGAGAAGAGAAGAGAAGAGAAGAGAAGAGAAGAGAAGAGAAGAGAAGAGAAGAGAAGAAAGAGAAGAGAAGAGAGAATGGGAATGGAATGGAATGGAATGGAATGGAATGGAATGGAATGGAATAGAATAGAATAGAATAGAATAGAATAGAATAGAATAGAATAGAATAGAATAGAATAGAATAGAATTGAATTGAATTGAATTGAATTGAATTGAATTGAATTGAATAGTTGGAAGGGACCTTGGAGGTCTTCTAGTCCAACCCCAACTCAAGCAGGAAACCCTATATCATTCCAGACAAATGGTTATCCAATCTCTTCTTTAAAACTTCCAGTGTTGGAACACCCACAATTTCTGGAGGCAACTTGTTCCACTGATTAATTGTTCTGTCAGGAAATTTCTTCTTAGTTCTAGGTTGCTCCTCTCCTTGATTTGTTTCCATCCATTCTTGCCACAGTTGTTAAGTGAATCACTGCAGCTGTTAAGTTAGTAACGCAGTTGTTAAGTGAATCTAGTTTTCCCATTGACTTTGCTCGTCAAAAGGTTACAAAAGGTGGTGACAAGACCCTGGGAGAAGGCAAACGTCAAAAATATGAGTCAGTTGCCAAGCATCTGAATTTTGATCATGTGACCCTGAGGATGCCGGAAGGGTCGTAAGTGTGAAAAACAACTCACCTCTTTCACTAAACGAACTGTTGCAAGTTATGGACTACCTGTACTTCAATTTTCCATGCAGTTTGAGAGAGAAAATGAAAGAAGAAAGTCGAGAAAGAAAAAGAAAAGGCAGAGATGCATTTTGGGGCCTGGAAATAATACAGGTAGTCCTCAAATTATGACCACAGTTGAGCCCAACATTATGTTGCTAAGTGAAACCTTTGTTAAGTGAGTTTGTCCAATTTTATGACTTTTCTTGCCACATTTGTTCAGTGAATCCCCGCAGTTCTTAAATTGGTAACACTGTCGTTAAGTGGAATCTGGTTTCCCCACTGATTTTGCTTGTCAGGAGGTCGCAAAACATGACCCCAGGACACTGCAACTGTCATAAATGTGAATCAGTTGTCAAGCATCCGAATGTAAATCACGAGAGACCATGGGGATGCTGCAGTGGTCATAAGTGTGAAAAATGGTCATAAGTCACTTTTTCAGTGCCATTGTAACTTCGAACAGTCACTAAGTGAACTGTCGTAAATCAAGGACTGCCTGTACTTTTTCTTCTTGTTCTTCTCCCCTGAATTAGAGACAACCAAAGAATTGAAGAGCTCTTTACCAAAAACCACCAACTGCGTGAACAACAAAAGGGACTTAAAGAAAATGTGAAAGTCTTGGAAAACAGGTAAACAGCTTCACCCTGTCAAAAGGGGCATCTGCGCAGGCAGAGAAGATTAAAATTGTCAAGATAGTGGCCACAACCGCACAACTGAACCTTTCTTTCATAAACATTGGGCAAGGTTAATCCAGTAATCCAGTATTCATATCGCATATCGCAATATATGTATAATAGATAGATAGATAGATAGATAGATAGATAGATAGATAGATAGATAGATAGATAGATAGATTTTCTGAGGTTTTCGCGAGTGTTTGTATGTAGGTCTTTGGTTAAAATAAATACATGGAACAAACCCAAATCCACACCGATGAGGCACGACCACAAACCAGAAGCCAGACCACAGCTGCATCATTAGCCACTTTAAACCCCTCCAATCCATACATGAAGCAAACTGACTCCCACCATGAAGATGTAGCCCGGCCACAAACGCGAAGCCAAACAACAGCAACCCAGCTCACCAGCTCAAATCTCCCTGCAACTCAGACTAACCCGAGCACAACCAAGCCCCCACCTAAACAGAACAAACCCCCCACCAATCAGAGCACAGCCAACCCCCCATCCAATCAGAGCACAGCCAAGCCCCCAACCAATCAGAACACAACTCCACCCAAACAGAACACAGCCAAGCTCCCACCCAATCAGTTCTCACCCCCACTGGCAGTTAAAAGGAAGAAACAGCTGCAATCACACATTGCTCCTAGAAGCACGAAGCCGAAAACACCAGCCTGAAGATGACGAATGAGACTTCGTCGAAACGTTGCCAACACATTTCCAATTTGACGCGGGAGAAAAACCTGAATAACTAAAAACCTACATATATATATATATATATATATATATATATATATATATATATATATATATATATATATATATATATAATATATATATATATATATATATATATATATATAATATTATAATATATATATATATATATATTATATATATATATATATATATATATATATATATTATATATATATATATATATATATATTATATATAATATATATATATATATAAAAATGGCTGTGTGTATGTGTGTATGTTCCAGCATAACTCTGGAACGCCTCAAGCAATCTCAACCAAACTTGGTACACAGATTACTTACACTCTGGAAAAAAATCCTGTGGGGGTAAGACATCCCTAACATCCCTCGGGGTGTGTATCTCTGTGTGAATGTTTCAGCATAACTCTGGAATACCTGGGCCGCTGAAATGAAAAGGAATGAATTATATCTATAGTGTCAAATCACAGTACTTTTGTCAGTGATACTGTGCATTTTGGATTCAAGTTCTGTTAAAATACAGCCCGTTGTGCCTTAAAATGGCTTCTACTGTACAGCACAGTGGAGTTGCCATGGTAACGGCTTCACAGTACTCCACAAGGGGGCTCCCTCTGTAAGGGTAATTGGTTCTTTAAAAAAAAAACCAAAAAACACCCTAGGCCAGTGATGGCTAACCTTTTCAGCACCGAGTGTCCAAAGCATACATGTGCGTACGAATACATGTGTGTGTGTGCCCACACCCATAATGCAATGCACACATGACCCCTCTGCAAGCCTTGCCTCCCGTGCATGCGTGTGACCCCCACGCATGTGCTCCCCACGCATGTGCCCTGCCCCTGTGCATGCGTGCATGACCCCCGCACAATCATGTGTGAACCCACATGTATGCCAATCATGCACTCTGCCCACTGACCCAAAAACCAGCTGGCTGGCAGGAGGCACGCGTGCATGCACGGCAGAGTGCAGCTGGGGCGACGGCTCGCGTGCCCGCAGAGAGGGCTCTGAGTGCCACCAGTGGCACGCATGCCATAGGTTCGCCATCATGGCCCTAGGCCCTCAGCTTCAAGCAAAGAGGGCAAGTTGTTGGGGGAGGTTCCTGCTAATGCAGATAATCATCTCAAAGGCTGTTCCCTGTAGAATTTTTCCCAGGCTGTTGGCCAGGCCAATTAGGCCTCTAATTCTCACCACAGTGGTTGAGCCAGTCCTTTTCCTGTCTAATACAGGATTGGGATAAATAAATACCTGGGCAACGCCAGGTTATCAGCTAGTAATCAATATAAGAGCATCATAATTCATACAGTGAACATAATAACGCATGCACATATGTACATAAAAAACATCTCCAGTGCTGATTGGGGATATGAGATAGTTATTGAGAACTGTGCCTGTTTGATATGATTTCTGTTCTAGCAGAACCTTACTTTCAAGCACTCCATCCTGATGAATAAATGTGCATCAGGGTTAGAAAAGGGGAATACAGAATAACAGAGTTGGAAGGGACCTTGAAGGTCTTCTAGTCCAACCCACTACTCGAACAGAAGACCTTACATCTTCTAGACAAATGGTTGCCCAATCTCCTTAAAAACCGCCAGCGACGGAGCACCCACAACTTCTGAAAGCAAGCCATTCCACTATGGAGATTATCTATGGAGATTCTCAGTCATCCAGATGCTTTTTTTTCCAAGAGGCAACTGGACTTTCTGGCTTTTCTTTGAAGACGTTTCACTTCTCATCCAAGAAGCTTCTTCAGCTCTGATTAGATGGTGGGGAATGGAAGGATTTATACTCCTTGCAGACAGCTGGTCATTTGCCTTGTTTTAGAGAGTCATTGAGGCCATTTGGAAGTTTATCTGTGTTGTCAGGGTCACCTGAGTAATGCAAATGGTTGTGGAGCCTTCTTGGAACTGTTGAAAAGACTATGTTATAGACTGGAGACAGATGATGTCCACTGATTCCACTGATTAATTGTAACAGGACGTTCCTCTTTAATTCTACGTCGGAGCTCTTTGACAAATTTGGTGAAATCCAAATTTTTTTACTACTGGTTCTGTAGGCGTGGCTTGGTGGGCGTGGCAGGGGAAGGATACTGCAAAATCTCCATTCCCACCCCACTCCAGGGGAAGGATACTGCAAAATTCCCATTTCCTCCCCACTCCAGGGGAAGGATACTGCAAAATCTCCATTTCCTCCCCACTCCTGGGGGAAGGATATTGCAAAATATCCATTCCCACCCGAATCTGGAGGCAGCTAGAGGTAGTATTTGCCGGTTCTCCAAATTACTCAAAATTTCCGCTACCTAAGTTTTTAATTAAAGACAAACACAAAACACAAAACCACACCCAGTGTATAATACAAAATAGGGAGAAGTGGAGGAATTTTTTCTTCATCTTCAGATCTTCCAAAATTCTCTTTGCATTGGCACTGGCATTATTTCTTTCAAGTTCCTGATTAATAAAAAAATATATAAAAAAAATAAAAAAAAATAAAAAAATAAATAAAAATAAATAAAAAAATAAATAAAGATGACATGATAATAAAAAAAAAATTCCGCTACCGGTTCTCAGAACTGCTCAAAATTTCCGCTACCAGTTTTCCAGAACCTGTCAGAACCTGCTGGATTTCACCCCTGAACTCCGCCCCCTTCTCTGTGACAGTCCCTCAAATTTTGGAAGACTGCTGACATATCACCTGTCATCCTTCTCTTCATTAGAATAGATATACTCAATTCATCATAAAGTTTAGCGGCCAGCCCCCCTCCCCTAGTCAATTTTGTAGGTTTTGGCCAAATAAATAATGATCCTGCAAAATCTGAGCCCAAAAGAGGGCTGATGAAATATCCTTGAGGGGAAGGAACAGCCAATGATCAGAGAATAGAAATTTGGGTCTGAGGCAGAAATGTAATTTGAAAAAGCATCTCCCTGGTTTTCACAAAAATAAAGGAAGGAAGGAAGGAAGGAAGGAAGGAAGGAAGGAAGGAAGGAAGGAAGGAAGGAAGGAAGGAAGGAAGGAAGGAAGGGCATTCAGAGTTGCAAGATTTTTGTTATTGTAACCTTATAATAAAAGTAATATTAGCATTTATGACTTTGGTTTCCAAGTCTGGTCTACCTTGAAGTCCTGACAGTGGGATTGGTATGGTATATTTGCTCCCAGTTGGGTTTGCTGCTCTAACAACCACCCTTCTATTTTAATTATTTGAAGGTTGCGAGCTGGGCTCTGCGACAGATGCCAAGTGACCCAAGAGCTTGCAAAGAAGAAGCAACATGAGTTTATGAAGGCCCATTTTCAAAGTCTTCAACACATCTTCATCCTAAGTAAGTTCGGCAAATAAAGAGATACCTGGAATACGTTGAATAGAAGTATGAGAGAAACCAGTCTTTTTGATGCTGGAAAATGCCATTTCTTATATTATAGTTGTGGTGGCGCAGTGGTTAGAATGCAGTATTGCAGGCTACTTCTGCAGACTGCCGTCTGCCACCAATTCGGCAGTTCGATCCTGACCAGCTCAAGGTTCATTCAGCCTTCCATCCTTCCGAGGTTGGTAAATGATAACCCAGATTGTTGGGGGCAATATGCTGACTCTGTAAAGCGCTTAGGGAGAGCTGTAAAGCACTGTGAAGCGGTATACAGTAAGTCTAAGTGCCACTGATATTGGTATACATGTAGACCTGGGGGTGTCTGTAGTTTTTCATTGTAAGTTTTGTGAAGATGGGATCAAATGCAAAGAATGTTAACTACCGTGTTTCCCCAAAAATAAGACCCTGACTTATATTTTTTTTGAACCCTGAAATAAGCCCTTGGCCTTATTGTCAGCCTGATTGGGCTTATTATCAGGGGATGTCTTATTTTGGGGGAAACAGTGTAGTTGTGTGTCCTCCTTTCCAACTGTCTATGTCCTCCTTTGCCTATTCAGATACCTGGTAACTCTAGGCCTGGGACTCACATGTTCTCTTCTTTCCATCTATAACTTTGACTCCATCTCAGCCATTAGTCCTGGAACAATTGGCGGGCTGGGGAAAGTTGATACAGTCCAACATTTTTCTCTTTCTTTCCATTCCAGCTAATGAAATGAGTAAGCTGAGAGATGAAAACAAGAGCCTGAAGGAAGAGCTGAAGAGGTTATGTGGCCCAGAGTAAGCTTTCCTAACTTTATATCTTGGTGTTTGGGATACTTCAAAGTCAAACCAATAGGGCTGCCTTCTTCATAGCAAAGATGGGCTATCTCAGAACTTTCTCCTGGAAAGGTGGTACGTCTTGGGCAAAGTCTGAGAAACCTCTAGGTCTCCTTGGCCAATTTTCAGCTCTGAAAACGGAGAGTTCAATGTGAGATGGATTTGAAGGATCTCAAGGGCTTCTGGTAGGCTTTGTGTTCCATTACTGGAGAAGAAAATGTCCCAGTTATGTTTGAAAAAGTTTGAGTCCTAACAGGAGTACCAAAACCTGTGGTTGGAGTTGGGACCATATTTTTTAGCCTGCAAGTGACAACTTGCATAAAGGCTCCAAAACAGAAATCAAAATTTTGCCACAAAGAACATCTAGCACAGTGTTTCTCAACCTTGGGCGCTGGACGATGGGTGGACTTCAACTCCCAGCTGGCTGGGGAATTCTGGGAGTTGAAGTCCACCCATCGTCCAGCGCCCAAGATTGAGAAACACTGATCTAGCAGATCAGAAAGGCTTCTACATCTTGGTAAACATACTCCTCAAATTACAACCATTTGGTTAGTGACTGCTCGAGGTTACAACGGCACTGGGGAAAAAAAGGGACTTTGACCATTTTCCACACTTATGACCATTGCAGCATCCCCATGATCGAAATTCAGATGCTTAGCGACTGGCATGCATTTATCACAGTTGCAGTGTCCCATAGTTTGACCAGCAAAGTCAATGGGGAAGCCAGATTCACTTAACAACCAAGTTACTAACTTAACAACTGCAGGGATTGACTTAACAACTGGTCAAGAAAAGTGATGAAAAGGGGCAAAATTCAACTTAATAACTATCTTGCTTAGCAACGGAAATTTTGGGCTCAATTGTGGCTGTAAATCAACAACTACCTGTATGTAATTCTCTATTGAGAAATTGTCTAACACAGGTGTACAAGTGAGTGTTTAGCACTAGTGTTTGGCTTTTCTTTAACTATCTCGAAAATGGGTTAAGTAGAGATAGTTCTCTATTTACAACCATTTGATCGACAGCTGTTCGAATTTACGACAGCACTGAAAAAACACCTTGAAAATGTCAAGTCAAATGACTTGAAAAAATGACAGTTCTCACACATACACCTATCATAGCATCCCCACTCTCGGCTTCCCCCCCCGTCTGTGCTCACGGAATCACAAGCAACGCTCTCGGAAAGTCGATGCAACTTGGTTTATTGTGACAAACAGCTCGGACGGAAGTCGGACTGCAATGCAATTCAAAGACGCAGCTACCCCACGCCCCACACAGAGTCCTTTTTATAGGGATTTCTCTAATGACAAGCAGCTGCTCGGAGGTTTTCAACTTCCCGCCGCTCCTCACGCGCGCACAGCAATGCCGTCATTCATTCCGTCTTGATCCAATTACGCTTCCTGTCTCCGTAACGTGTTACACCTCCGCGAGCCCCGATAAACACCCGTGCATTATAACGCCTAGTCGCCAGCCTGTCCCCGTCACCAACACCCGTGCAGCCCGTCTCATCCCTCCTCCTAGCAGGTAGGACGAACGTCCATGGGTCAGCGGTCTTGTGCATGGTGTCGAGTGCTTCTTGACGCTCGACAGTCGACGCGGCTCCCCCTACCAGGTGTCCGCCTAGAAGAGAACAAAACACAGATAGTGGTTAGTATTTTATAACGGTTTCGGTTTGTGGGGGTTTTTCTTATGAAACTTCCCCACCAACCGTGGGGCATTTACATCTTTTTTGTGAACCCATGAGGCCTCGGTATCAGGATAACCTTTCCACCGAACTAAATAGTATAGATGGCCTCTCCGCATTTTCGTGTCAAGGATATCGTTGATTTCATAGTGAGCCCCTGTTACTGGGCCTGGGGGTGTTTGTGTTGACGTAGTGGGTACGGTTACCGGTTTCAATAGACTTGAATGGAAAACAGGATGAATTTTCCCAAGCAGAGAGGGTAGTTTTAACATAAATGTTACCGGGTTAATGATTCTTACAATGGGGAATGGGCCTATATATTTAGGACCTAGTGTTCGACTGGGCAGCCGCAGCCGTATGTATTTAGTGGACACATAAACTAAATCCCCAACCTGAAAAGAAGGACATGTGGTTCGTTTTTTGTCGGCTTGCTCTTTATATTCCTCAGCTGCTTTAGTCAGTGCTTGCTTTATTTGAGGCCATGTCTTCCGTATGTTAGTCGCCCACTCCTGGGGAGTCATTGACGGTGGAGTGGTGAGGTCCAGGTCAGGAATAGCCGGGAAGTCCCGTCCCATTACAACGTGGAAAGGAGTACACCCGGTGCTCCTATGCACCGAATTGTTATATGCTGTCTCAGCAAACAGGAGATAGTCCACCCAGTCTCTCTGTTGGTACGATACGTAGGAACGGAGGTACCGTTCCACCATGGCATTCGTACGCTCGGCTGCTCCATTCGTGCTGGGGTGATATGCCGAACTTAGGCCCTGTGTTGTTCCAATATCAGTAAGGAAACCTTTCCAGAACTTGGCAGTAAATTGCACCCCTCTATCTGAAATGATTCGTTTGGGTGCTCCGTGTAATCGATAAATATGTTGGAGAAACATCCGGACTAGTCGTTTTGCGGATGGTAAGCCTTTACAAGGGATGAAGTGTGCCTGTTTTGAAAAAAGATCGACAACAGTCCAAATAACGGTATATCCCCTACTGTTAGGGAGCTCTACGATGAAATCCATGGCGATTTCATCCCACGGCCTGCTCGGTTCTGCCACTGTCTGTAGTAGCCCTAACGGTTTTCCAGGACGTGGTTTAGATACAGCACATATGTGACACCCGCGGACGTATTGGTCGATGTCTTTCCTCATTTTGGGCCACCAGAATTGTTTTCGGCTTAGATGCAACGTCTTTAAGAACCCGAAATGTCCTGCGGTTTTGTTATCATGGCAGTGAGTCAACACTTGATGCCTCAAGGAAACGGGGATATACAACCTATCCCCCCACCATACCAAGCCGTTTCGGTGGGTGACAGAAGAATGGTTGTCTTGTACCCACTTATCCGTTTGCAGTTCTTTTCGCAGTGTCGAAACCCAGTCAATGGGTTGGCGAGTCCCCAGCGTATACGCTTTCATGGGTGGAATCACAGCCTGTAAAACCTCATCTTTACTACTTCTGTATTGAGGCAGTCGTGACAAGGCATCAGCTAAAAACATTTTACCTGCTGGTTTGTAGACGAGAGAGAATCGGAAGCGCTGAAAATATTGTGCCCATCTGATTTGTTTTGGGGACAATTTTCGAGGGGTTTGGAGGGCTTCTAGATTCTTGTGGTCCGTCCAGACCTCAAAAGGCTTTGTACTTCCTTCTAGTAGATGTCGCCATGTCTGCAAGGCCCGCTTTACAGCGTATGCCTCCTTCTCCCATATGGCCCAATTCCTCTCTGTTGTCGTGAATTTACGCGAGGTGTATGCGCAGGGCCGTAGAACACCGTTTGGATCTTTTTGTAGTAGTACAGCTCCCACGGCCACGTCACTCGCGTCTGCCTGCACGATGAATGGTTGTGAAATGTCTGGATGTTTGAGTACAGGCTCTCTAGCAAAAAGACGTTTGAGATTCTCGAATGCTTGTTGGCACGCGGACGACCATTGCAGCACGTGTCCCGGCCTGGGTTTCACTCCGGGCGCCACTTTACCTTTCGTTTTTAAGAGCTCGGTTAAAGGCAATGCTATCTTCGCGAAGGATGGGATGAACTGTCGATAAAAATTCGCAAACCCGAGAAAGCTCTGTAATTGCCTACGTGTTCGCGGGGCCTGCTATTCCATCACTGCTTCTACTTTTTTCGGATCCATCTGAATTCCTGTATCACTAATCCGAAAGCCAAGGTAATCTATTTCTCTCCGGTGGAATTCGCACTTCGAGAGTTTAACAAAGAGGTGTGCTTCCAGTAATTTGGTAAGTACCTGTCGAACGAGCTGAACGTGCTCTTCCATCGTGTTTGAATAAATAAGTATATCATCCAGGTACACTAATACCCCTCGATATAAGTGTTCGTGTAACACTCCGTTTATGAGCTGCATGAAAACAGCTGGTGCACCTTGCAGACCAAACGGCATTACTAGGAAATGGTAACTACCGAGGGGACTGTTGAATGTGGTTTTCCATTCGTCCCCCGACCGTATCCTCACCCGATAATAAGCTTCACGTAGGTCTAGTTTCGTGAAGATTTTTCCGGTGCTCAAGGTCGTCAGTAAATCGGGTATCAGCGGAAGTGGATACAGCGGCTCGACACAGACAGCATTTAGTCCCCGGTAGTCGACACATAATCGTAGCCCCCCGTCCTTCTTTTCTCGGAACAGCACCGGTGCTGCTAGGTGTGACCTGCTAGGGCGGATAAAACCTCTCGCCAGGTTTTTGTCTATATATGCGCGTAATTCTTCTAGCTCTTTTGGGGTCATCGAGTACATCCGGGGTTTCGGTAGTCGAGCTCCAGGGATGATTTCGATACCACAGTCGGTATCTCGGTGTGGTGGCAATACGTCACACTCGTTCTCGCTAAACACTCGAGCAAGGTCGGCATACATGGAAGGGTACTTCTGTTGGGGCGTTGCCTCATGCTGGAGTGCAACACAAGGTTCCCCTGTGATCGGAAGTCTTAATTTACGGAAGCCCCCCTCCCACCAGATGTGGGGCTGCCACTTATCCAACCAGGCAAGACCTAGGATGATTGGTTCTATCATCTGTGTTATTACAATGAACCGGATGCGTTCTTGATGGGCCCCTATGGTTAACACTACAGGTTCCGTTACGCCAGTGGCGGGTACCCCCCCCAGAGTAGTACCATCCACCTGTTCGAATTTAATGGGATCGCGTAACGTCAGTATCCGGAGGCCTAAAGCCTCTGCTATGGATCGGCGGATAAGGCAACGGGTGCAACCGGAATCTATCAATGCGTCTTGATCGCACTCTCGGTTGGTTGCGGGGTGCCTAAGGGTTACTGGAATCAGGA